CATAGAATTATTTCAAAAATAAAAAATAAATGCCTTGTTAATGTTGTGTAGTCTTAGAGATTTACATAGGGCGTACCATTGTTTTAATATTAAAAATTTTAAGAGCATGAACATATTTAGGTAAAAATATACAGATTTAAAGAAAAGTATCCAATTTGTTTTAAATACATAAATAATACAGTAACTCACACTTTTTTTTAAATTATACAAATTCTTGCTTCCTTAAACTCTTGTTCTTCCTTCCTAGTAATAGTTATAGGGACAAAAGAAAACTCTCCAGAGAAACAAAGGTATTAAACTAATTTTAGATGTAAATCTAGGTAGCATTATTTTTACACACATTTAGATATTTTGTTTTTAACTTACTGATTAATGTTTGTTTTGGTTTAAGAAATAGGATGTAACTTACTAGGATAAGATAATGGAACACAGGAACTAATAATATATTTCAGAACAGAAACTTATTGTTAGAAATGAGTTTTATTTAACTAGGAAAGATAGCTGTTCCTTTAGTAAGCCTATGACCTTTCCTCGTGTATGTTTATTGAGAACTTAAAAGTATTTGCTTTGTTTTAATTTATGAAAAGTGTTTTTTTTTGGTCTTTAGTTTAACGTTTTATATCTGTTCTAGTAAAAACTGTCAGTTGAGACTTTTGGATACATCATATTCACATGTTTCCTTGACTGATCTTGTAACTAAATTCCACAGAACTCCCCAAATCCCCCTAATTTCTTTTGTTATAACAATTAAATAACAAACACAACTCCCATTATGCTTTTAATATCTCTTAATGATGGTGCTCTTGGGAGAAAACTTTTTTTCCTTAAGCTAAGTAAATTGAATTTTTTAGTCATTTCAATTTTGATTTATATCAGGACATAGTAATTTGCAACCAAATAGCTATTGCCTAGATAATAATACAAAGTATTCATAGAAACTTAAACTTAGTGACCTCACATTTGTCATATCTTCTGCTTTTATTTCCTCCCACAAATAATTGTCGGAGAATGGGATTTTTAATTTAAGATTCTTAAAATTTTGTGTTTTTACGATTGAAAAGGGACTTACGTGTGAGATTTTCTGAATCACCATCTCAAAACCATGATTTATGTCAAAGCTTTTTAATTTACATTTACTCCACTGGTTTCTTAAAATCATACTTACATTTTTGTTGCTCTTCTAGTATAGGGGATTTCAGTCAGTAATTCATAGATACTTAGTAAATGGAAAGAAAGGTAATTAGAAGGAGAGAATTTTATTATATGACAGTTTATTTGAACACTGCCCTATAATAAATTATGTATTTGCGACTTCACTATTTCATGAACCTGGATGGGGACCTGAAAGAGATCTTATTTGAGTCATTTGGTTTAAACTTGTATGTTTTTGAATTTGCTAAATATGTGTATTAACTTTTAAGCTCTGTGTTAAGGCATTTCTCCTGTTCAACCTACTCAGTTTTCAATGGACTGATCTGATTTGTTATAACATATACGTAGTTTTTACTAATATTTTCATGTGTTAAAGGGCAGTTTAGTATTTCAGTATATTTTGTTTGGGGCAAATCATGCTCAGAGACTGAGTTTGTCTTTGCCTGCCATCTATTTAACACAGGTTTACTAAAGGAATTTCACAAGCCAGTAGCATATGGGATAAATAACATACTCCAGACCAGTGATAGATAAATCATACTATTGTTTCAAGCAAGAGGAGATGATAGTAATAAACATCAAATTTAGTTGAGGTATATCTTTATATGACTTGATACGAAGGAGAGATGGCTTAGCCAGCTGAGAGCTGATTTCCTCCTGCCAGCACAAAAGTAAAAGTCCCCTGTTCTAGAGCATGTTGCTAAGGAAGGATACACCTAGCAAGTGTTGATGGGCGAGAGGGTCTTTTCCCTACAACTGCTGCTTGGTTTTTACCACTGAAGGTTAAAAAGTCTCCTTTATTGTGGCTGGCACTAATTGCCGTGTCTTTGGAGAGCTATTTAGATCAGCTAAGACCTGAGAGTCTGCGATAGTCCTCACAAACTCTCAGTATTTATAGTCTAAATGTCCTCTAGCTAAAGTTTTTCTTCATGTGTTTTTATTGGTAAGCCCCCAGTGGAGCCCCACAGCAGCTGAGCCACTGAATCATCCAGAACAGATGAGATTAATGACATCCTGACACAGCTTACTTCATCTTTATGTCCAAACAACTTTACTCTTAAGAACAGTTTCATTTTGTCATAAACAAGTATGTTTGAAATCATACCAAATCAATATGTGACAAATATATTTTTATGAAACACTGCCAGTGATTTTTTTTCTTTTTTAATTGTGGTACTAAACCATTTTTAGATGCAAGACTTTTTATATATGCTTAGAGATGTCAACCAGCTTTGTAAATTCTGCATTCATTTTGAATAAAATGTAGAAGACAGGAGGAAGCTCAAATATATGTAAATAGATTTTTTAAAAATTAGTGTTTATAATTTTTTTGTAAGAATGGTCAGAAAAGTGAAGATTCACATTAGGCTGTACCTTCTTGAAAACAAAATCCATCTTTATGCCAGTAGATAAGAGTATTTAAATAAAGCAGCACTTTAAAATGAAAGAAGAATGTAAAATTAATAATAGGTTATAGTTGAAACGGTTACTACTTTGATAATCTTTACCTATTTCTAATTTTATTTTGTTTTGAAATCACTACTCCTTGGGGAAAGATTATTCAGTACTAACGCTAGTCTCTGTAGACTTGCATTTCTTTCTTTTTTTTTTCTTTTTCTTTCAAAACTTTATTTAAATTCAAGTTCACATATAGTGTAGTATTAGTTTCAGGGGTAGAATTTAGTGATTCATCAGCTGCATATAATACCCAGTGCTCATTACATCAAGTGCCCTCCTTAATGCCCATCAACCCAGTTACCCCAGCTCCCCACCAAACTCCCCTCCACCAACTCCTCAGCTTGTTCCCATATTTAAGAGTCTCCTGTGGTTTGCCTGTAGACCTGCATTTCTGCCTAGTTATTTCTTTTTATGTAGGATATATGTTACACCTTTTATATAAAAAAAAAAGTTAAACCTAATTTTACTGTCTTTTATTTAGTTTGATATAAGTGGAAATACATACTTTTCCATGCAAACTTTAGAAAACCAGTTGTTGGCAATAAAATTGTAGGGTTTTTTTTTTTTAATTCTGTTTCTTGGACCTATGCAATAAAAACTATGAAAGGCTGGTATAACATCCTTGTGAGAACAGCTATTTCTGGATTATAGAAACTAATTAAATATGTTTGTCAGCTTTGTCAAAAGTAAAATTTATTTTCTTGACTTTCCTCAATTTTGAACATATAATACAATTTTAGATTAAAAGAATAAGTATTTCTTAATGGTGGAGACTAGATTGTTAACATAAATGTTTCAAAAGTGAAAGAAGAGTTGGTGCTAAGACTTCTTAACTCACTAAGGAAGTTGTGGCTTTACTGGGAAATAGAAAATTGTTAATTATGTTTTATTGGTAAAATATACTTTTAAAACCACTTTATTGAGGTATAATTGACATACAAAATAATGTAAACACCTTGTTGAGCTTGAATTTGACAAAATATTTAATGTTTTAGTTCTGAAATTTTTAATTATGTAATGTAAACTTTTTACTAGTCTTTGTCAACAGTGTTGGAATTTTACCTTCACAAACAACTCGAAGTGCCTTGTTTCTGTCTTTAATGCCCCTGTACATTAAATTGTAAAGTATAACAGTGCAATAGCACCCATATCCAATAATTAATATATTTTGGCAGACTTCCCAACAGAGGGGAGTACAGATCTTATTTCCAAGTTTATTAAGAGTTTTCTTACAAATTTCAGACATCTTTCAAAATACAGTACAGAAAAGAAATGATTCAGTTCTTCACAGTGAATCATTTAGTGATCTCATAGCCATTTAAAATGTTTGACATGGGGCACCTGGGTGGCTCAGTCGTTAAGTGTCTGCCTTCAGCTCAGGTCATGATCCCAGGGTCCTGGGATCGAGCCCCGCATCTGGTTCCCTGCTCTGCAGGAAGCCTGCTTCTCCCTCTCCCACTCCCCCCTCCTTATGTTCCCTCTCTCGGTGTGTCTCTGTCAAATAAATAAATAAAATCTTTAAAAATAAATAAGTAAAGTAAAATGTTTGACATACTCTAAGGAGTTATTTCAAATTTATAAGCAGTTAGAAAATATTGACCCTAGATGTCTGAATTCTGATTTTTTCTCTTCATAGTTCTGATTAAATAGGAATCTTCATGTAGTGTGTATGTATAAGTGTGTATTTTTATTTACAAAGTTTATTCTGGCTTATTTTACTTCTTAACTGTATTTGAATCATTTTAAAAAATTGAAAACAATTAAATATCTACATTAGCTTTTTTACTTAAAGAGTATTATTTTTGATGAATTAAAAAATTCTGTTTCATTAAGAATTTTATAATTTGTTATCCCTTTAGGAAAAATGAAACATGGGGAACTAATATGGTAACTTATTACCATTCACTATTTTTCTTTTTTTATTCCTGAAAGCTAAAAAAAAAAAAAAAAAGGAAAGAAGAAAAACATATCCTCAGCTCCCCAAACCTTCAGTATATTAATTGACATGGAGATGAAGGGAGATTTTTTTAAACAGTAATGCCACAGAAGAATATAGTTCCTTGTCGCTGTAGCAAACATGGCTAAAGAAATGAGTATTTATGTTATATTCCAAGCCTTATGATAATTTTGGAAATGTGGAAGTCACCCGAGTATAAATTGCTATGCAAATTTAGAAGTTTTAGGGACAGATTTTATGAATAGTTTAATATTAAAGCCCCAAAGACTTTATAAACTCCATCCTTAAACAATGTATTCATTACATATTTTTTGCCAGGCACTGTGGTAAGTGCTGGGGAGCCTGTGAGTATAAGACACATATTCTGCGTCTATAGAGCTTATTGTTTAGCAGAGTACACTAGTAATAATTAAATGAATAAGTACACTAGTAATTAATAGTGATAAATGCTGTAAAGGAAAAAACATAAGGTGCTATGAAAGTGTAGTATTTGAAATGTTTTATTTGGACTTGATACCTGGAACAAGTTTTTTTAAAAATAGTTAATATAGTTAAAAAATAAATATAGTTCACTGGTCAGTGTATCATGTGCCTAATATGCATATAAACAGTAACGGTAAATGTTTAGTAACTTGAGCACAGTTACACATATCCATGTATTTTTTTATTTCTGTTTTTGCATTGCTAGAGTTGGATTTTGCTAATTGCAGAAAAAATGGCATTTTGCTACATTTGAAAATATGAAGGTGCATTGGATCCTGCTAACTTGTTGGATTCTGCTAAATTATTAGCAGTGCAACTCTCAGGTTTTGTAGTTAAGAACATAAATCCACTAAATAAAAATATTTTTAATAGAACAATATGGAATTAGAGTAACTCTCCTTTCTCCTACTCAAAATTTGATTTGCTGAAGCTGCCTCCCGAAAATCATGGGTATCGACACTCTGGTCAGAACTTGCTCCGGACTCTCATATGGCAGAATCAGGTCAGGTGGCAGTATCAGGTAAAGGGAAATAAGAAACATATGTTTCCTCCCCCCTTTTTACCTTGAAAACATTCATTCAGGAAGAACAGAATGACCAGGAGAAGGGGTACTACATAAGAAACACCTGGGATGATTGATGCACAAAGTTACTTGATTTTTGTAATGTTTTAAAAATTAGCCTTCAGAATTACATTGCAATTAAGGAAAAATCAGAAAGGGGGGAAGAAACTATAAAAATATAAGGAAAAAAATCCAAGATGGCAGAAATATGACAATATATCAGTGATCATAATACATATGAATTAAGTTTTTCTAGTAAAGAATTAAGTTTGATATCACAGATTTAGATGTAAAGGAAAAGGATAGCTCAAAAGGAATAGGTTTCATAATTTGTGAATTGGTAGCACCACGTGATAAGAATCCCTGTTGGTTCTTGAGGAACCTGATAGAGAACATGTATTAAACTAGGCCAAACACCAATTTTAGACAAATTAGATCATGTACATTTGTTATACAAATATATTGCCAGGTTTCACACTTTGAGCTAAAGATTTCTGTTGATAAAAGAAAATATCTGAATTATAAAAGCACTGTGAGGAATACTTGAGGTGTGAGCATAGTTTGCTTAAATTCTTTTTTCAAAGTGCTTTCTCATTGCACCTCAGTTTTTTTCATATTTGATTTAGCATAAATAACTGGGTAAAATGGAATTATATAAAAAATAGCACGAACTGCTAGGTCAGTAGGAAACTACTTGCACATAATAGGTGGTCAATAAATGGCATTAATAAATAGTATTCAGGATCCATTTATTAAATGGAATTAACTGATTTTGATTTCTTTTCTTATTTTCTAGAAATATTAAAAGTTTGTCAGATATCCAGATAGTACAGGTTGCTTGCGGTTACTATCATTCACTTGCACTTTCTAAAGGTAAGCGTTATTTTTATTTTCTTGCCCGTTTTCAATTTTATTTCTGGATACTTGAATTGAGCAGAAAGTCCTCCAACATTGTTCTTGAAATTCAGGATTGTCCTGGTTCTTTTTGATCCTTTTCATATCCATATACATTTTAGAATTAGCTTGTCAGTCTTCACAGAGACACAGACTACTGGGATTTTGATTGGGATTACATTGTTTCTGTATATCAATTTTAGGAAAATCTTTACCATATTGATTCTTTAAATTCTTGAACATGTTATATCCCTCTATTTTAATCTTTTAATTTTTCTCAGTGTTTGTGTGGATAGGTCTTACACATCTTTTATTAGATTTTCCCCTAGATATCAAATGATATTTTTTATTATTGAATCATTTTCAAGTTGTTATTGCTAGTATATAGACATGGAATTGATTTTTGTGTCTAATTGTTCTATAGTCTGCTAAATGCCATGCCTTCATAGAGGGTGGGAAGTTTATAACTTGCCCAGTCTCCTTTGATCTCAGACTTTTTATGAATAAAAACAAAGAAGGCGAAGCATCCTATTAGGCTTGTTTGCTTTTGTTACTTATTCATTTAACTTCTTCATCTGCCAACTAAGGATTGTAGCATGGGTTACTATGTTGGTTTTTACCATTTAAAAAATAAGCTCCAGTGGCTTCATTATTAGTATTATTTAATTGATTAAATGTCCAGGCCTACTGTGAATACAGCACTAGGGTATAGCTGTGGGGAAATACAGGTAAGATAATAGGGGACTATACCATCTAGTGGAGGGGGCAGATAATACAAATAACTAGTTTGAGACAGAAAAATACTGTTTTGATCAAGGTCAAAGTAAAGTGCTATGGAAATGAAAAAAGTGTAATTAGTTCAAATCAATAAAATTATTAACAATAAAGAAGGAATTGGTATTTGATGCAAGTCTTAAAAGACGAATAAAACATACTCAGAATTAGAGAAGTGTTGAGAAGTAGCTAGGGGAAGTGTTGAGGATTGGCTAAGATGATAGTACTAGTAAAGGCATAGAATGAGGAGTGTATTTTGTGTATTTGAATATTAGCATGTAGTTTTATGTGGATATTGTGAGTGTGGGAGACATACTGATCCTTCAGCTGAGGTAATATGTTACAAAGGCCTTAAATGCCTTATTAAGGCATTTGAATTTCTGTAGGCAGTGGGGAAGCTGGGATCCCTGTATTCTTTGTTGTTACTTTGTCAGCTCTTCTTTTGATATTTTGGTAGGTAGATCCAAGATCAATTTAAACCCAAACGTTTTACTGATGAGGAGGGTAGTTTTCTGTCTTGACTTAAAGGGATTCTTTTGCCTTGTTTGGCTTCATGCTTTAGCAGTATTTTACTCATTTAATGATTTTTTTTTTTTTTTTGATCCCTCAGTATGAACTAGGCACATTGGAGTTTACAGTATATAGTGGTAAGGAGTATGCTGCTAGCCCTTATGTTACAGTCATATACAAATAACAGTATAATTACATACTATGAAAAAGCACTGTAAAGAAAAGTTTAGGATATTTAGAGCATATAACAGGGGGACTGAATGTAATCTGGGTGACCAGGGAAAGCTTCCTGCTGGGAGAGAGTAGAAGTGAACTAGACAAAGATGAGGGGGAAGGTCTACACAGAGGGAACTGCAAGTGTGTGAGAAATGGGCATTGGAGAATGTAAAGGAAGACAAGTATCACTAGAGTATAGTGAGGGAGGAGACAGGTATGAAATGAGCTCGGAAACAGGTAGATTATATAGAACATTACAGGCCTTGTTAAAAGTGCTTATCCCAGTGTCATTGGGGAGGCTCTGATAACTATTTCAGTTAGTCACATTTATCAGATCTACATTTTAATAATATCTCTTTGTATATATACAGATGTCTGCTAGTATGTCCATAAAATATTTCTGGAAGTACATACCAGTAATTGGTAAGAGCAGTTGTCTCTTGGGAGAGGACCCAAGGTCTAATTTTAGAGGGAAACTTACTTTTAAATGTATACTATTTTATAGTATGAATTTTAAAAAGTTATTAGTGTGTCAGTTATTGGTGCCATTTATTTAATAAAATAAAAAGATGTCTAAAATTGCAAAATAGGGTGACAGGGGGAGCAAAAGTGACAAGCAGAGATGGTGAGGAATGGATCTATTTGCCATATTTTCTTTAGAAGGAAAACTGTATATTATGTGGTGATATATGATAGACTGATTACCAGTCTGTGTATAAGGTAAGAGATGAGAGGAGAGTTCAGCATGACTCTCTGTGTTTATGGCTTTTGCTACTGAATCAGTTATAATATCATTTATTGAGATGGAGAACACGGAGAATAGGTCCAGATATGGGAGGTAGGGTGGGGGTCATAAATTGTTTGGAACACACTGAGCTGGAGGTGCCTTTGTGTAATATCCAAGTGTAGATGTCAGATAAACAATTAGATACATGGGTTTATTACTCATAAGAGAGGTCTAGTCTAGGGTTAAAATTTTGAATGTGATCAGTATACAATAACTGAAGCCTTGAGCCTGGTTGAGTGCCTCTTGGGATAAATCACAGAATAAAAGTGATACTTGAGGACTATTAAAAAGGAATGGTCCTATCTTTAGAAACATAAGGAAATGAGATTACCCTCAGTTATGTGACTTACCCATTCATTAGTAAAGTGGGTCAGACTTAAAGTGTACTAATATAGAATGTTCTTCTAGGTGGTATTGTGTTTCCGTATAAGAAATAAACTTAATAAAGGAGAATATGTATTTCCATTTGATGAGAGGCGGAATGTCCCAAATTCTGATGATCTTCAAATGAAATTTTTGTGTGTGTGAGGAAAATAGTTAATTTTGTAATTTCTGTTTTACAGCAAGTGAAGTCTTCTGTTGGGGACAAAATAAATATGGCCAGTTGGGTTTAGGCATTGACTGTAAAAAGCAAGCTTCACCACAGCTGATTAAGTCTTTGCTTGGAATCCCTTTCATGCAAGTTGCAGCAGGAGGAGCCCATAGTTTTGTACTCACCCTTTCTGGAGCTATTTTTGGATGGGGACGCAACAAATTTGGTCAACTAGGTCTTAATGATGAAAATGGTAGGTTCTCATTATTTATAGATAAATGTACTTAAAAAGAAATGATCTTTTGAGATGGATCAGTGATTCTTGATGTCAGAAAGAAATGTACCCAAGTCTTCCCTGATGTGGAGAAGGGGATGAGAGGTTTATTTAAAAATTCCATTAGGTAATATTTTTAAGGGATGGTGGGAATGCCAAAAAATACCGTTTTATCACAAAATAAACTCTAGAAAGTATATCTGGAGAAATCTTTATTGTTAGATGTTCATTAAAAGAAAGTTGTGAAAAACATTACTTCAATTGGTAATCACATTATTGGCCACCATTGGTGGAAAGAAGTTGTAAAATTATTCTGGAAAGTAACATGAAGTGTTAGTCTATTCTGAGTTTTTCAAGGAAATATTAAAATAATCTGAGTCATTAAATCTTTATTTTAAAGCTTCACTTTTAACATTGATTCTAGAATCTTGAAAATAAACAATTTGAATTTTAAAATTTATAATTACTTGAAACAAGTCAGGATCTTGGAACTGATTTTTCGTAACTACATTAATTCAGATGCTAATACCTGAAATACAAAAACTAATTTCATAAAATTCAACATAATTGTCATGACTTAAGTGGACAAAAGTGAGTTGTTGGTCTAGTAACAACTGGTAATGATAAGCAAAAATACTCAGAATTTTAAAATATTTTGTTCTGCATAAGAAAAATGTCAGATTAGGACGTATTTCTTTTCTGCTACAAAATAGCAGAAAGTATAATTTTCAAGTACTTAAATAGAATCCTGTGAGCTTAATTATCATGATGTGAATATAAAGAATGATATTAGAAGCAAATAGCTTTGAAATTCCTTGATTTCTAGTTCAGTGCAGATTGGTGTTAAGGCGGTTTAACACTTAAATTACTCTTTAAAACCCTCTATCACAGCAGCATGAATAGAAAGACCTGGGAACCCAATTAAGTAGGCTTGTACTACAAAATCATTGAATCAAGTTAAAATTATTTATCACTGCTGAGCTTGGGAAGCTGTAGAGGAAACACATTTTAGAAGAGTTTTAACTTAAAAAATACCGTTAACGTCTCTTGTTGGAATTTTCAGATAGGTATGTTCCTAATTTACTAAAGTCACTAAGAACTCAGAAAATAGTTTATATTTGTTGTGGAGAAGATCATACTGCTGCACTAACCAAGGTATTGTACTCCTATAAAACTTCTTTATTTTTACTCATGGAAGTTATTTATAATTAGTGAATGTTTTCATGATATTTACATTAAAACTCGAGTGTTACTGATGTCTAAAATGTAATTTATCTTGAAGACAAGAACTAGATTATTACTTGTCAAAAACAATTTTCCTTAATTTTCAATGTTGTTTTATGTTATGAAATGTGAATTATGATCTATTAAATGTGATAATATGTATTGTTGAATTTCTCAGCTTTATGTGAAATACTGTTTAAATAATATTTTGAATGAAAATTTCTTTTTAGGTTGTCAGACTTGCCAGCCTCTGTGTATCAATCCCGTTTATATTGCATAACTGCCTAATTTTAATTTAACTCCCACTTGGCTTGTAAATACTGCATAACAAGTAATAGAGGAGAATGAATCTATTAACCATAGGCTAAGTATTATGCAAACAGTTATAATGAGCTTTCATCGCAATCTTGTTAATGGTTTTAACTCTGTCCTGTAACTTTCTTGGGTATGTGCCGTTTCGTTATCAGGACTTTGTAGTTCTCTAGTGATTAGAAGTAAAATGAAAATAAACACATTAAACTAACCTTTACCAGGAATATTATTTTAGTCATGTTAACATAAAGGAACTGGCACGTTTTTTTATTAGCTGAATTAGAAATTAATGTTTTTGCTTCTTTATCTTTTTTCATTCTGCATAATAGATAATATTAGCAAGACAAAATTAACTTCTAATCAGACTTCTATATACACAAAATTCTACACACCCACATTGGGAATTTTTTTGATAAGAATTATTCTTAGTCATTATCAAGTATAATATACTCAGAGTACTTTTAAAAATATGACTAATTATAAAAGGTGATTTTTAAAAACATTTGCCTTTTAGTAAGGAAGTTTTATCTGCTAATCTTACTGTATTTTATTGATTTTTATTCAAATTACAAATGTAATCACTACAGTTTTAGTAACTCATGTTGGCAAGTTATAAATCTAGTCATTCTCTTCTGTCATGGGGGGTTAGAAGAAATAAGGCTATGCTGAAATAATACTAAAAAATATTTTGTATATTATCCCTTAGGACTAGCTTTGTGGTAGAAAGACTCACAATGTTACTGCTTATCAAATTCAGCCCTTCAAATAACCACTTCACATTGTCCCAGGATATGTAACTATTTCTATCTGTTGTTTTTTTTTTTAATTTTAATATTCTGTATTCCTCTCAAGATAGTAGCTGGTGATACTTGTTCACTGGAATTTTTGGTGTGTATTATTTTTAACAAAATCAGATAGTTTTAAATATCCCAACAGGAAAATACTTTATTTTCCCTTGATTTAAATTAGAATACAGTTCCATATCCATATATCTTTTGTTTTTCTGGAAGAGCTTTTTGCAAATAAATTAGGATTGTTTTATGAAGCAGTTTCCTTTTGCAAAACCTACCTTAGCAATTTAAAAACAGACTTTAAAAAACAATAAATGTAAAGACATGTATGTTAATGGGTGTGAACGCACTATCATAAAGATGTCAGATTTTTTCAAGTTCATTTACAAATTCATTACGCAGATCACATATACATACATCTTTTGACTTAGCAATCCTCGTTTTAAGAATCTGTCCTAAAGGGGCGCCTGGGTGGCTCAGATGGTTAAGCGTCTGCCTTCGGCTCAGGTCATGATCCCAGGATCCTGGGATTGAGTCCCGCATCGGGCTCCCTGCTCAGTGGGGAGCCTGCTTCTCCCTCTGCCTCTCTCTCTCTCTTTCTCTCTGTCTCTCATGAATAAATAAATAAAATCTTTAAAAAAAAAAAAAAAAAGAATCTGTCCTAAAGATAGGAAATTATATATGCACAAAGCCATTTATTGTGGCATTATTTTAATAGCAAAAGGATGAAAGAATGCAGATGTCCTTCAGTAGCAGCCTAGTTAAATAAACTATGGTAACCACACAGGACTTGTGAAACAGGTACTTACCAAGTCATGTTTATGTGACTTGTAAAATAGAATGAAGCAGATCTCTATATTATGCTGTGGAATATCTTTAGGATATATTGTTAAGTAAAAAGGTACAGAATAGTTGCCTCTTGTATAAGCAGGGGTAAAAGATGAACATGTTACATGGTATTTATATTTTTAAAAATTTAATAGCTAGGTACAATGTACTTTGCTTTACAGTTTACAACATACATGTTTTTAAGCAATTAAAAAGTTTTAAACAATTGTTTAAAAATTGAAAATAAAAAAATACTAGTGGCACAACTCAAAAGAATTCTTTTAATTAAGTCCTTTTAAAATACAGTATTTTGTTGTATATCAATAGTAGGAAATAGCCTAAAGATAAACTGAATTCACCCAAAAATTTTAAACTGCCTTCTGTAGTCTTGTTAGTAATAAAATTGATAGTATTATTCTCAATATATTACATAGAGGATAGGATAAAGCAAATAAGTACTTTACTGTCATTAGAAACTATAACCTTCAGCTTAAAAGAGATATGAAACAATAGGAATTAAATTAAAATCCTGTGATCTTTACTTTTAATCACTTTTAAGAGTATTATTATATACTCTTATTCTTTTCCTTCTAAAAAAAGTGTTGTTTTTTTTTTTTTGCCATGACCACTGAATGGTCCTAGAAGTAACTAGCCATGTATAATCTGAAAGCAATGGGCATCCCTTGATTGTTGTATACTCTATATGAAAAATAACCAGGGCTTCTTAGAGAAGAGTCTGATTTCATATCTGGGGGAAAAAAAGTCTAAGAATAGCCTTGGGTATTATGTGTTACAAAAAAGAGGACCAAGGTCATGTCAGAGGGACAACATCCAGGAGATTTCACAGAAAGAAATACCAATGGCAATAAGTGGAAATATACCAAATATATAAAAATCCATGATTTCGTTATGATACTTTTCTTCCTGAAGTCAATACAAAGCAAACTTCATTGCTTATCTTTGCAAGTTGCTAGGACAACAACTCAGTTTTTAAAAAAATTAGTAAATGAGAAAGAAACATTTCCCCTGCATCCTATTTGCAGATTGTATTGCAGAGTAACTTAATAGTTGATGAATTAAGTTCTCTGTAGAAGAATTTCCAACCAATAAATCTAGAAGAAATAATAAGATTAGAAAATCTCTATACTCCCTAATAGTGGATCAAGACAAAGATTGAAACATTAAGCTTAATGTGGATGAATTAGGTTGTGAAATTTGTTAACCCACTTAGTAACATTACCAACCAGACGTATACTTTGGTGTGATACAATAAAATAATCAGGAAAATTTAAACATGGCCTCAGTATCAGATATTAAGAAATTAAAATTAAAGGGGTCAGTTCATGAAGGGGACATAACAACTACACTTCTGTATGCACCCAACATAAGAGCACCTAAATAATATTAAACAAATATTAACAGAGCTGGAAACAGAAAGAGACAGCAGTAATAGTAGGGGACTCCAGTACCCCACTTTCTTTTTTAAAAAATATTTTATTTATATATTTGACAGGCAGAGAGGGAACACAAGCAGGGGGAGTGGGAGAGGGAGAAGTAGGTCTCCCACTGAGAAGGGACCCCGATGTGGGGCTTGATCCCAGGACCCTGGGATCACTACCTGAGGTGAAGGCAGCCACCCAGGCGCCCCCTCCAGTGCCCCACTTTCAACAACAGATAGGTCATCCATATTGGAAAGTCAATAAGGAAATATAGGACTTGAACTATACTTTATATCAAATAGACCTAACAGATCTACAGAGCATTCCATCCAACAGCAACACATACACATTCTTCTCAAGGACACCACAGAATATTCTGCAGGAGAGATCATGTGTTAGGTCATAAAACAAGTCTTTTTTTTTTTTTTTAAGATTTTATTTATTTGACAGAGAGAGACACAGCGAGAGAGGGAACACAAGCAGGGGGAATGGGAGAGGGAGAAGCAGGCTTCGCGCGGAGCAGGAAACCCGATGTGGGGCTCGATCCCAGGACCCTGGGATCATGACCTGAGCCGAAGGCAGACGCTTAATGACTGAGCCACCCAGGCGCCCCCATAAAACAAGTCTTAACAAATTTAAGAAGATTGAAATCATATCAAGTATCTTTTCCAGTGATAATGGTATGAATCAATAATAGGAACTCCTGAATAATCAGTGGGTCAAAAAATAAGTAAAAGAGAAATAAAATATCTTGAGACAAGTGAAAATGGAAACACAAACACTGAAACTTGCGGGATGCAACAAAAACAGCTGTAAGGGTAGATAGTGATAAACTGTATCACCGCATATCCTATAAAGCAATAAACAGCTACATTAAGAAAAAAGAAAAAGAAAGCTCTCAAAAAGATAGCTTTTAATACCTCCAGGAACTAGGGAAAAAGAAAACCAAACTAAGCCCAGAGTTTGCACAAGGAAGAAAATTACAAAGGTCAGAGCAAAAGTAGAGACAATACATAAGAAAAGATAACAAAACTAAGAACTGTTTTCCTGAAAAGATAAAAAAATCGACAGATCTTTAGGGAGACTAAGAAAAAAGACTTAAAATCAAAAATGAAGAGGAGACATTACAACTGATACTGCACAAATAAAAGGATTATAAGAAACTACTATGAACAATTCTATACCAACAAATTGGATAGATAACATAGATGAAATGGATAAATTCCTAGAAACCTCCAAACTCCCAAGACTGAATCACGAAGAATAGCAAATCTAAACAGAGCTTTAACTAGTAAGGAGATGGAATCACTAATCAAAAATCGCCCAACAATAACAGAAAACTCCAGGACCATATGGCTTCACTGGTGAATTCTGCCATTTAATAAATAATGCCAGTCCATCTCAAACTCTTCAGAAAATAGGAGGGAACACTTTTAAATGCATTTCATGAGGCCACCATTATGCTTATACCAAAATCACACAAAGACACTACAAAAAAAGTAAAATTACAGGCCAGTATCCCTGATGGGCATAGATGCAAACCCCTTAACAAAAAACTAGCAAACCAAATTTAACAGTACATTGAAATGATCACATACCATGATCAAGTGAGATTTTTCCCTGAGATGTAAGAATGGTTCAACATCTGCAAATCAGTCAACACCACATTAATAGGATGAAGGTTAAAAGTCATATGATCATCCTAATAGATGCAGGAAAAGATTTGGTGAAATTCAACATCCTTTCATGATAAATATCCTCAGTAAAGTGGGGCGCCTGGGTGGCTCAGTAATTAAGCATTTGCCTTCAGCTCAGGTCATGATCCCAGGGTCCTGGGATCGAGCCCCACGTCAGGCTCCCTGCTCAGCGGGAAGCCTGCTTCTCCCTCTCCCACTCCCCCTGCTTGTGTTCCCTCTCCTGCTGTCTCTCTCTGTGTCAAATAAATAAATAAAACATTTAAAAAAATTGTCAGTAAAGTATAGGAGGAATATGCCTCAACATTGGCCATAAATGACAAGCCTACAGCTAACATCATATTCAGCGGTGAAAAGCTGAAAGTTCTTCCCATAAGATCAAGTGTAAGATGAAGATGCCCACCCTCATCACCTCTATTCAAGATAGTATTGAATGTTGTAGCCAGAGCAATTTTAGTAGAGAAGAAGAAATAAAAATGCATCCAAATTAGAAAGGAAAAACTAAAATTGCCTCTGTTTGCAGATGACATATTATATATAGAAAACCCTTAAGACTCTGCCAAAACTCTGAACTAATAAATGACCAGTAAAGTTTCAGAATACAAAGTCAACATAAAAAATTAGTAGTATCTCTATACACTTTAAGAACAAACTCTGAAAGAGAGTTAAGAAAGCAGTCCCATTTACAGTATCATCAAAAACAATAAAATACTGAGGAATAAATTTAACCAAGGAGTGAAAGACCTGTATACTGAAAACTGTATAAGACGTCAATGAAAGAAATTGAAGAATACACAAATAAATGGAAAGATAGTGCATGTTCTTGCATTAGAAGAATTTTGTTAAAATGTCTGTGCTACTGAACGTGATCCACAGATTCAGTGTAACCCCTATCAAAATTCCAGTGGCGTTTTTCACATAAGTAGAACAATCCTGGAATACATATGGAACCACAAAAGACCAGGAATAGCCAAAGCAATCTTGAGAAAGAACAGCAAAGCTGGAGCATCAAGCTCCTGATTTCAAACTATATTACAAAGCTATAGTAATCAAAACAGTATAGTACTGACATAAACACAGACAAGTAGACCAATCAAACAATAGATAGCCCAGAAATAAACCCACATATATACAGTTAACTAATCAGTGACAAGGCACCAACAACACACAGTGGGAAAGTTTGGTCTCTTCAATAAATGGTGTTGGAAAAACTGGGTATCTCTATGCAAAAGAAAGAAATTGAACCCTTATTTTTACCATTAACAAAATGTAACTCAAAATGGGTTCAAGACATGAATCTAAGACCTGAAACTAAAACTCCTAGAAGAAAACATGGGGTGAAAAGCCCTTTGACACTGGTCTTGGTAATCATTTTTTAGGTATGACACTAAAAGCACAAGGAACAAAAGCAAAAATAAATAGGTGGAACTACAAATGAAAGAAGTTTTTGCACAGCAGAGGACACAGTCAATGAAATGAAAAGGCAGCCTATGGAATGAGAAAATATTAGCAGACCATTTATCTGATAAGGAGTTAATATCCAAAATATAAAAGGAACTCCTATAACTCAATGGCTAAAAGAACCAAATAATCTAGTTTAAAAATGGGCAAAGGACCTTGAATAGGTACTTTAACAAAGAATATAACAAATGGCCAACAGGTGCATGAAAAGATGCTTGGTGTTAACCTCACAATCATCAGGGAAATGCAAATCAAAACCACAGTGAGAGAACACCCCACATCTGTTAGGATGACTATTACCCAAAAAACAAAGGACAAGTATTGGTGAGGATGTGAAGAAAGGGGGAACCCTTGTTCCCACTGCTGGTGGGAATGTAAACTGTGCAAATAGAAAACAATATGGAGGTTCCTCAAAAAATTACAAATGGAATTATATGACCCAGCAAATTCCACTTCTGGGTATATACCTGAAGGAAATAAAAACAGGTTCTTGAAGAGATAACTGCACTCCTATGTTCATTGTAGCATTTTTCACAATAGACAAGAAACAACCTAAGTGTCTGTTACCAGATGAATGGATAAAGAAAATGTGTGATGTGTACATATATATGTGCGTGTGCATGCGCGCGCACGTGCACACACACAGGAATAATAGCCACAAAAAGAGGGAAATACTTCCATTTGCCACAACATGGATGAACCTGAAGGGCATTATTCTAAGTGAAATAAGCTAGAGAAAATCATGTCATTTATATGGGGAATCTTAAAAAAAGAAAGTCAGATTTGTAGAAATGGAGAATAGAATGTTGTTTGCCAGGGCCTGGGGTGGGGGTAGGGAAAATGGGGGGAAATTGGTCAAGGGTACAAACTTTCTGTTATGAGATGTACAGCATGGTGACTATAGTTAACAATACTGTATTCTATGCCTGAAGTTTGCGGGGAGAGTAGATCTGAAGCATTCTTATTCATACAAAAAAAGTGGAGATGATGGATGTGTTAATTAACTCCTTTGTGGTAATCATTTCACAATGTATATGTATGTGAAGTCACATTGTATGCTTCAAATATATACAGTTTTATTTGTCAGTTCAATCATACCTAAATAAAACTGGAAAAAAATGATACCAGTTACAAAAACCATAAGAAATAAAAATGAACACTTTTGCCATTTCTGTCAAAAAAGGAAATTAATATTTTGTAAATGTGATAATAGTATTACTGTGTTACGTATTTATGTATGTGAGAGGTATATGCCATTAGAGATACATACACATTTATAGGTGAAATGATTTGATGTCCACAGTTTGCTTTAAAGTACTCTGAGAAAGGAAAATGGCAGGGGCATTGATGAAACAAGGTTATTTAACTTTTGCTGGTTGTTAAAGCCAAGTGATGGTTATTTGATGGTGTGTGTGTGTGTGTGTGTGTGTGTATTTGTATTTATATTTATATATACATGTCTTCACTCTTATGTAGTTTGAAATTTTTCATGATAAAAAGAAAAATCAATTTCCTTACATAGCCATATATATACTTACACTATTCAATGATGAAAGCAGAATATAAAATTGTATATATAGCTACAACTCTGAAGAAAAACAGTTGAATTGAAAAACCAGTTGTGCTTGTGTTAAGCTGTCATCACAAATTACTTTTTTATATACATAACCTAATCCAGTTGTGTGTTTTTACCATAAATTTTTGAAAGACTATATAGTCGACCCTTCAACAACACAGGTTTGAACTGAATGGGTCCACTTATACACAGATCTATTTCAACAAATATATTGGTAAAGTTTTTGGAGATTTGCAACAATTTGAAAAAACTCAGGTAAACCGTGTAGCCTAGAAATACCAAAAAAATTAAGTTAGGTATTGTTTATGTTATCAGTAAGGTTTTCAGTCAGAAGTAGGCTATTAGTAGTTTTTGGGGAAGCAAAAGTTGTGTATGGATTTTTGACTGCACAAGGGATTGACACCCCAACCCCTGAATTGTTTGAGGGTCACCTGTGTATTGTAGCAACTGTGTGTTAAAAATAGCAATATTTGTGCACTCTGGTTTAATTGTAGTCTTTCTGCAGTGGCTTTATATAAAAGCATAACTAGTTTGAAAACTGAAGATGATACCATTTTTAGGTTTTGTGATATTTTATAGGTATGTACTTGGGATTCAACAAGATTCTGATTATAATGATCGTGAAAGGCAATGCAAAAAATGATTAGTATCTCTTTAATGATGGCTTCAGCTCAATATAATGATAAGAACATAATTAAGTACTTTTAAAATATTTGAAAATAGCCTGCAGTTCTCTTAGGTTTAAGTCATTCTACCTTGAAAAGTCAGCTATTTGTTAAGTTCTTAAGTTAAATTGTAAAGACAATAGAAGAGAAAAATTGACTCCATGTATTAAAGATTAACCTATTTTCTTGAAGATTATTTTCTTTTATCAGGCCTTCTAATGATAAAGGGTTTTGTCTTTTTTTTTTTTTTTTAGGAAGGTGGAGTGTTTACTTTTGGAGCTGGAGGGTATGGTCAGTTGGGTCATAACTCTACCAGTCATGAAATAAACCCAAGGAAAGTTTTTGAACTTATGGGAAGCATTGTCACTCAGATTGCTTGTGGAAGGTAAGCTATTATATGAGAGAATCTTAGTCTCCATAACACAATTATTTAGGAATTTTTTTTTTTTTAACAGTCCAGAGGTCATGAATTTATAGGGAGTGGGTTCCAGCAGCTGAAGCTTCTTTCCATTGGTTCTCACAAAGTGTACTTCTCTGGGTGGAGCAGGCTGGCAGTTCAGTTGAATTCAAGTACTTCTTTCTTCGGCTTCCTTTTTTTCTGATCATTTTCCTTTACATGTTTCAGAAAGCTCTGTCTTGGCTCTCAGAGTGCTTAATGTTTTCAGCATGCACAAAAATTTTCTAGACCAAAAAAAATCTTGCCCTTGTTTATTTACAGCAGTGCCAACAGCATGCTGGGTAACATTGTAGATTTCATTTTGCCATGGTAACATTGGTGGGGCATTGCTTTTTGAATAGTGCCGGTCCCCTTGATGTCTACAGTATAACCTTTCTTGTGGATTTGCATATATGTGGCCAAAGGAATAATTCCATGTTTTCTAAAAGGCCTGGAGAACGTACAGGGGTGTCTCTCCTTTTTCCCTTTGTGTTGGCCATTTTACAAATTACTGGAAGATAGCAGTTCCTAGCTGACATAGGGATTTTTTTTTTAAAACAAATTGTTTAGCAGTTTAGGAATCTAAGATAAAAACATTCTTCCCTAAATGCCTGATTTGCTGCTGAGGAGTAATAGTAACAGGAGAAACAGTTTTTTCTACTGATTATTTTACTTTTCTCTATTTGAAATAAGTTTATCTGGGACAAGATATTAATAATGAATATGTAATATATTTATTGTATATAGCATCACACTTGAAGGGAAAGTACAAATCATCTTATTTTTCTTTTTCTTTTCCACCTTTTTTTAATTTAAAGAATGAGGAAATTGAGCAGTTAATTATTTAACACACAAAATTAGTTATTGGTAAAAGTTGAATTGGAATACTGATTCCCAGTTCTTGGGAGTAAATAGAAGAGTCACAACTTTGAAATTGAGCTTCAACTTTGGTGGATTAAATTAGGTGGACTGTCAAAAAACAGAGTGTACTTTGTTTGACTAAGCTTAATTTTTTCTACGTGGTAGATATCCATATACAATATGGTTCAGTTTTGCCAACTTTTAACTTCAAATACTTGAAATCACACTGTAGGTAGTCTTTGGTGACTTTTCTTTTTTAACATGTTACTTGTATGATTGATTATCTGTATGTGTGAAGCTGTGGTTCTTCATCATTAGATCTCATTGCTGTGTTTTATTCAGTTATATGCATATATAATTATTTACTCATTCTATTACTGACAGGTATTTGGGTACTTCCAGTTTTTGGCAATTACAAAAAATGTTGCTTTGAACATTTATTATATGATATACATAAACCTTCATATTTCTAAATATATACCTGAAATGGGATTGCTGGGTCATAGGGGATACTTACCTTGAAATTTTGCAGGTTAATGTCACTCTATTTACCAGAATGATTATACCAATTTACATGCCCGTTAATATTGCATGAGAATTCCTGACACTCTGTGTCCTTGTCCCTATTTAGTATTGTCAGACTGAAATTTTTGCTAATCTCTTGGGTATATAGTGTTACTTAATCATGATTTGAATTTGCATTTCCATGATTTGAGACAGATTGAATTGAATCTGTAGATCACTTTGGGAAGTATTGACATCTTAACAATATTAAGTCTTCCAAGCCATGAATAGGAGATATCTTTTCATTTATGTCTTTAATTTGTTTCAGTAATTTTTCTGTAGTTTTCATTATCTTTTAAATTTCTTTTTGGATTGTTCATTATTAGTGTATAGAAATGGAACTCATTTTTGCATGTTGATTTTTGTATCCTTCTGCGCTTTGGTGATTTTGTACACAGATTAATTTTACTTCCTCCTTTTCAGTTTAGGTGCCTTCTATTTCTTTTTCTTGCTCGAACTTCCAGTACTATGTTTAATAGAAGTATTCAAAGTAGGCATCCTTGCCTCGTTCCTGATCTTAGAGGAAAAGCTTTCAGTCCTTTACCATTGAGCATGATGTTTGTTGTGGGTTTTCGTATCTGGCTTTCATTATGTTGAGATAACTTTCTTCTATTCTTAGTTTTTGAGTTTTTCTTTTTATCATAAAAGAGTGTTGAGTTTTGTTGATTTTTTTTTTTCCTGCATCAATTGAGATGATGATGTGGGTTTTTTTCTTCATTGTCTTAATGCTGTAAATTACACTGATGAATTTGTGTATGCTGAACCATCCCTGCATCCCATTTGGCTATATTGTATAGTTTTTTCATTATTACTACTGAATTCTGTTTGCTAATACTCTATTGAGAATTTTTGCATCAGTACTCATAAGGGTTAATAGTCTGTAGTTTTCTTGTAGTGTCCTTGTCTGACTTTGATATCAGGACAATGCTGGCCTCATAGAAGGAATTAGAAAGTTGCACTCTTCAGGTTTTTTGGAAAAGTGTGAATAGGATTGGTGTTAGTTCTTTAAATGTTAGGTAGAAGTCACTAATGAAGCCATTTGGTGTAGGGCTTTTCTTTGTTGGGAGATTTTTGATTATTGATTCAGTTGTTTTACTATTTATAGATCTGTTTTAGTTTCCCATTTTTTCGTGATTTAGTATTAGTAGGTTTTGTACTTCTAGGATTTTGTCTGTTTCATCTACATCATCTAATTTGTTGGCAAATAACTGTTTATAGCACTCTCATGATCCTTTTTATTTTGACAGCATTAGTAGTAATAGCCCCACTTTTATTCTGATTTTAGTAAGTTCTTTTTTCTTGGTCAAGTTAGCTAAAGTTTTGTCAATTTTGTTGATCTTTGTAAAACCAACTTTTAGTTCCATTGACTTTTGCTATTTTTCTATTCTCTATTTCATTTATCTCAGCTCTCATCTTTATTACTTCCTTTTTTCTGCAAGTTTTGTGTTTAGTTTTTGTTTTTTTTTAAGGTCCTTAGGTTGTCAAGTTGGGTTGTTCACGTGAGATCTCTCTTCTGTTTTTTTGTTTTGTTTTGTTTTTTTGTTTTTGTGTTTAGGTAGGCTCCATGGCCAGCATGGAGCCCAGTTCGGGGCTTGAACTCACGACCCTGAGATCAAGACCTAAGCTGAGATCAAGAGTTGGACGCTTAACTGACTTAGCCACCAGGCACCCCAAGATCTTTCTTGTTTTTTAATGTAAATTTCCCCCTTAGCACTGCTTTCCCTGCATCTTTTGTTTTGAATGTTGTGTTTTCATTTTCATTTATCTCTTAAGTCTTTCTAATTTCTCTTGTGATTTCTGATTCATGTTATTGAATTTCCACAGATTTGTGAATTTTCTAATTTCCTTATGTTACCGAGTTCTAACATCATCCCATTGTGGTTGGAGAAGATACTCTGTATGGTGTCTATCTTTTAAAATCTATTGAGACTTACTTTCTGGCCTAACATAGGATCTAACGTGGACAGTGTTCTGTGTACATTTGAGAAGAATGTGTATGTTCTTGTTGGATAGTGTGTATGTCCTGTTAGATCTAGTTGACTTAATTGTGTTGTTCAAGTCGTCTGTTTCCTTACTTATCTTCTGTGTGGTTTTTCTATTTATTATTGAGAGCAGGGTTATTAAAGTCTCCAACCATTTATTGTAGAATAATTTCTTCCTTCAATTCTTTCAGTTTTTGCTTCATATATTTTGATGGTCTTTTATTAGATGTGTAAATGTTTTAATTGTTACCTTTTGCTGTACTGAACCTTTTGTTAAAATATAATGTCCTTTGTCTCTTGTAACCTTTTTTGATTTAAAACCTATTTTATCTGATGGTAGTGTGCATGATTTGTAGATCTTATTGTAATAGTATGTTTAGTTTTGTAAGAAACCATCAGACTGCCTTCTAAAGTGGCTGTATCATTTTGTTTACCCATGTTGGTTAATTTTGTTTTCCTTTAAATAGGCCACACATCCCAATTTCTTTGTAAGCCCATATATACATGGAGCTGTTTCTGTGATCTTCATCTTACTCCTTCAATACCTGTATCCCTGTGCCCCTTTCACACTATATAAATTTTATGACACTGTAATTCTGCTGTTTGGAATAAAGCAGGTCCTTTTTGTCATATCCATCAAGAATGCTTGGGTTGGAGGCACCTGGGTAGCTCAGTCAGTTAAGCATCTATTTTCAGCTCAGGTCATGATCTTAGGGTCCTGGGATCGAGCCCTGAGGTGGGCTCTCTGTTCAGTGGGGAGTCTGCTTCTCCCTCTCCCTTGTCCCCCCCTCCACATGCACATGTGTGCGCTTTCTCAAATAAAATCTTAAAAAAAAAAAATGCTTGGGCTATTTCTGGCCTTTTACTTTCATAGAAATTTTAATATCAGCCTGTCAGGGTTCTCCAAAAAAATTTTGGGGGGATTTTGATTAGTAGTGTTTTGAATCTCTAGATTAATTTGTCAAAATGTTGTCTTTATAATTTTGGCTTTTCTAATCAACTTCCAAGCTTATTTAATGTCTTCTAATTAAATGTTTAAGATTTTTCATCATAAAGGTCTTGTATATCTTTTGGTAATTTTATTGCTAGAGACTTCTTTATAATACTATTATAAGTTCTACTTTCAAAGGTATCTTTGGCATGTAGAAATAGCTGACGTTTATATATTAATTTTAAATCCAACCACTTTGGTAGACTCTTATTAATAACCATATTATCTGTGAATCAATTTAGTTTGTTTCTTCATTTGTAATACTTATGCTTAACCTATTTCTTGCCATTACTAATGTCCTGGCTGGGACACTAGGATAATGTTCACTAGAAGTGCTGAAGCTCAGGGTGCCTGGGTGGCTCAGTTGTTAGGCATCTGACTCTTGATTCTAGCTCAGGTCATGATCTCAGGGTTGTGAGATCTAGCCCTGCATCGGGCTCTGTGCTTAGGATCCTTCCCCGACCTTGTGCTCTCTTGCTCTCAAAAAAAAAAAAAAAAGTGCTGAAAGATCAAGACATCCAGACATCCTTGTTCTGCATTCTCTCTGTGGG